AGAAAACTAAATATGATCTTTGCGAAATAATCTTGGCTCACAAGCAAGATAATAAATTGACCACTAAAAATTTGGCTCAAAAAATTAAATTAAGTGTAGCAGAAACCGAAGATATCCTCTATTATCGCATTGACCATTTTACTCTGGATCGATTAATGGATTATGCAGGCAAGTTGTTTGACCCCAAGCAAGTGCGAGTTTCTATAATCGAAAAGCCAAAGAAAAACGGCAATCGCCTTTATGCCTAAAAGGTTCAAATTTCTTCGTGAACAAAAAATAGGAAAAGAAATAGTTTGGATATATTCTTGCGGCTTAGTATTTAACAAAAAAAAGATAACTCATCTCACGATTACTGACCATTTTCAAGCTGGGCATAGTGATGTGATTACCAAAAAACTAATTTGTGGTTTGGTTAGAAGACTACATTGCAAAAGGATGGAGCCAGAACCAAAGAAAAAACCTATCGACCGCGATGTCTTTGTTCGAGAAAGAATGACTTATGGTGGTAAAAAATATAGACTAATATTCTGATTTAAAGATGGAGCTACTAATCATTTGTGGGTGAGGAATTGTCATCCGCAAGACTAATCTTTAATGGCAAAATATTATTTATCTTTTACTGTAAGATAACGATCCATTTTTAACATAACTCCCCAAAGTTCTCTTCTTTCTCTTACTCCGAACACTCTGCCAAAAAAAATATTTGTCTTCTTCATACATTTTTAATAAGCAAATATTACAAATATATTTTCCTTTGTCTTCATCTTTTTGCGTCCAATAATCCCAGTTATTTCTTAGAACATATTGGCCAATAGTGCGATTATATTTAATTTCAAAAGATTTTTGGCAGGGATATTCTCCTAAAAAGGAGCGATTTTGATAAGAACATTCAACTGGCAGAGGTTTTAAAACTGGTTTTTTGGGTTTTGTTTCATTGTTCATTCCTGGTCATTTTTTAGATATTATTCCTCCTTTTTAGGCTTGATTTTTTTAGTAAGTTCGTCAATTTTATCACCGGCAGTTTTGGTAAATTGATTGGCTTTTTCATTAACGGCTTTGGTGGCCTGATTAACTTTATCCCCCGCTACTTTCTTAACTTGGCCAACCCCTTTTTGGAATAAATTAACCCCTTCTTGTTTTAACTTATCCGCCAAACCCACCTTATCGGCTAAATATTTTTGATGTTGCCCAACTAGGTCAGTCTCTTCGGAAGTAGCATCTTCCTGTAAGCCAGTTTCTAATTTCAGTCTTTCAGCCTCATGAGCTATTTCTTTTTTAAGATGTTCTTTCTCTAATTGTAGTCTAGCCATGG